GTTTAGTTTATTGTCAAATGTAAACTTTGATGTGTGATGTGTCTGTGTGTTTGAGTGTGAAGCAAAAAATAATTTATACATGTAAATAAATTATTTTAACTTATACCTAAGTATAATAAAGGCATTCAGTAAGGATTTCGGCTATATGTTTGACTTGAGTGAAGCCAAAGGCTTATTATAGGGTATTTTGCTATTTTAACAATTTCTTTTCATTTTATTAAGTGCCTAAATACCTTATAGATTTATTTTGATAGTTCATTATACTGAATTTTTAAATATTATTACACTATCTACTAATAGTATTACACTATTTTTATGTTTACAAAATCTTCATGTTTATTTACCGGGTTAAAGATTTACATATTCAATATATTTGCTTGGTACTAGGACACTTTTGGCAAAGAAAGTATCAAAGTTTCTTAACTTTAGGGTGCAATAAAAGCGATCGGTTTATAATCTTATTTTCAGTCATTGCTAGAACTTATACGACGATCAAACTTACCAGCGCTGAAAAAGTTAAGTTTTTTTATAAAATGCAATTTCTTTTTGGCTATGTAGTAACGGGCAAAAAATATTTTTATACTTTTTAAGTTTGGCCAATTGATTGTTATAAACACAAAGTCGCTAGCAGTAGTAAATTTGTAACAGGTTGTTAACTATATTGCTTGTATGCATCTGTTTATACCTATTCATGGCACAAATACAATTAATCAGCTATACGTTTTATAAAATTAAGGGATCTATCTTCAACCTATACCTAATTTAATAGTCTTTACTGAATATAAAATAAACAATTACAAAACATTTTGATATTCTAATATCCTTACCCCCATTATAATAATATAAAGTTAAGATAAAGTTCAATGAAGACCAAACCACAAATTTAAGGGTGTTTTCACTGGATAGCAATAAGCGTTAATTTTATTTGTACTCGGGTGCGATATCCGGTTTCGACGGAAGTTCACGCCTACCGCCGCTACCGCTAAGTAATGAGGCTACTGTTACAAACATTGTGCTCATTGGATAAGGCAATAAATCAACTTAACCTACACAAACCATTTTGAACTTTATGCGAAGGGAAAATAACTCTATTTTCTTTATATCGAAATTACCATTCATGAACCGGCATTAATATTTTGGATATTCTTGAACGAGCATCAATGGAAGTGATCTTTACTTTCCACTTTATATATATACTTAAGTATATTATTATTTTATTTTATTTTAGTGTTATAATTTTAGAATTATTAAATCAGAAAAGCGATATTTTAAGTTTGTGTTTTAGAACATCCGTTGACAGTTGGAAAGCTACCGATTTACTAACGCAAAGAACATAAAGCTTTATAAATCAAAAGCTAATTTGGGAGTCGGCAAGCGATGCGTACCGTAATGTGTTCTTTACATCAAAAACACATTTAAAAGAAGTTAGATTGGCTTACTGGAGTTGGCGTGGGGCCATACGTAGTTGGAGCCTTTTCGCCGCCCCAAAGCCAGCCTAATCTTCAAAGATTTGCCCCAGATTGTTTGCAACCATTTTGGTCCATCAAAATATGACGGCGTAAAACTTTACTCTGATAAATTATTTCAGAAACAAACATCTCTAAAAATATTCAGAAGTGTAAGACGTGAATAACTATAGGTGTGTGAGGTTGCTCTAGATTTATTGTAGTGTAAGTATAGTATAGAATGGAATAGATGTCCACTTATAAAAATTTATTCCTATTTGTTCATTATTGATGCATCCGTGCGAAACTGAGGCGGATTATTATTAAATAATATAGTGAGTCGAAAATATTTGTCTGCTGTTTACTTTTCACTGTTATACTAGTAATTTCATTATACAAAGTTATTTTTAGTATAGCTGTACTAAAACTAACAAATATACACATATGTGATTTTAAAAATATCTATGCATAGTGATATTAATAGATTATATATTAGATATTTAAGTGTAATATTATTTCCATTCCAATAAATTGATTAGATAATCCATAAAACAACAGATATCTTATATTTTTTTACAAAAACATGTATTCTGCCTAACTTAAACACCTATATTTTGAAATTTGAATAAAAGATTCATATTTAAAACAAGCTTTATTTAGTTTTAACCTAATCATCCTTAGTGTCCGTAGTTACGTAGCTATCTTTACAGTCATTCAGATTCCACATAATTTAAACAATTAATACATTCTATCATATAAATACACTTCATTGCTTTAGCTTAGGGATATATTTACAAAGACTATCTAAGTAGCTATTTTCTTATAATTATTAGCAATTTGGCAACATGATTAACGGTAACATTTAAATACAAAAATCTTTATTATATAAACTATAATTGACAGAAGAAAGTTGGTTTTCGTAAGAAATTATGGACAAGCATATTGTGTTTTGAAATAACACAATTACAATGAAAATTAAACCGTACTGATACCAGGCATCGCCATTATATTGAATCCTGTCACAAGCCTATTTTTTTTAGACTTTTGGTTTTGAATGGTCACATACATTCTTATGGTCATTCATAATGGTCATAATACATTTTTAATTGTTTCTTAGTAATTTCGTTATAAGTACTTAAACACTACAAATAATTTTCGTAATAGGAAAGCGACAGAATTCAACATTAGAAAGATAAATGTCCATGAAATAAAAGTACATCTGGTACGTCTATGTACAATTCATAGTCTGTAAAAATTATTACTTTACCTTTTATTTATTTATCAATAGATTTAATATAAATAATCTTTATTTTCTTTGTCTCCACAAGATTATTAACTCCACTTCCACATATTTAAACTATAATGTAGTTTAAATCAATGGCCTATTGGACAAAAATATAAATTTCAATATTGATCAAATTCGTACCGGACTGGAGTTACCTATAACATAAAAAAAATATATTTTACAGGTTGGTTGGAAAGACTATAATATTATATACTCCCCATTTAAAGAGTGATTTGGAATAAATAATATTACTCATGTAACATCTTGCATACATTTCAAGTTAAATTCTAAATAAAAACTGTTTATAGGTAGTATGGTTCAAACTAGAATGAAATAATGCAGCCTAAATAAAACATGGCTGTGTAATATCTTTACACATAGTACGAGTAACTACCATTAAATTTAATTTGGCATACCCAGTACTTCATTCAGTTTTAGGACTTATCACAGTGAACATGAGGTTTAAACATGCAGTAAAATAATTATTGAATAACCATTCAGAGATACGATTATTAATAATATATTCATTCAGTCTTACTCTATACAATACAAAATAATTATTATGATATAATAGTGCACTTTATTTTATATCAATACGTGTGCAATGATTTGCTATATTATATTGTGGTTTAGCAGATGCATATTTTTTAGTTCATGCTCCCGTATGTTAATTGCCCTCGTAAAGTTAGCCCAGATAGAACATTACATAGAAAAAAAATACTAGTCTCTTCCGTAGTAGGTGTGCCTCTAAATTATTAATAAGAGAATGGAGTGTATACTTATAATAATGTTCAGTGTATTTATAATTGATAAATATATGTATATATCGGAAATTAACATCAAGGAGGGTATTTATATCGGGGTGAACCACGTTTGAGTCTTATTTTATAATTTAATACTGAATGAAAACAAAACATGAAATCTACTAAACCACGATATCAAGTTCAAGGAACTGTTGTATACCTTAATTATGTGTATATATTTTATTTAATTAACAACAATGTTTATTTATATAATAGGTAAACATCGCCTGATACGAACAGAGGTCTATTAACTATTGTATAATTAATATAACGACGATGTAGCTTCTACCTTTAATATATTTTTACACTAATTTACCTGTTTTCAAGGACATTTAGTCTTACTTATATGTAATTATTTTTCATTCAAAAACTGCTTTCACATTATGCATCTATATTTAAGTTTTGGTTGTATTTTATTGATTCAAAAGCATTGTACCTACACTAAGCTCTTTACATATTTTTAAGTTATCTCGTATGTGTTATTTAAAAAATAGCAAAATTATAGAATAAAGACGGCTTTTCTGGACAATTATCAAATAGAAAATCTGTGAAGTTTATTCTGTCAAACACTAATAAATTTTGGTGTAAACTACATATTTTTATAATAGTACAAACTCGAGCGCTATTGTTTTGTTCACAAATAAGGATAAATAATAGTATCATTTGATACGGCACTTAATTGCACAGAGACCAGAAACAGACCCTAATTAGATTTCTAATACGGGGACCAGCGTGCTTCTTCTTCCCTCCTCCTTGAGTCCATATGGTAAGCCGTTAGATTGTTTGACAATTCAATACATGACTTTATCCTCAAGTGTCATTGTAATTGGCAATAACTAGACCTTCACACTTACAAGTGCGTAGTGCACTTGTAAGTGTGAAGGACTAGTTATTATTTCGTTATACACATAAACAAATATAAACATGTAGATGAACATTAACACTTAAACAAATTACACTTGGAATGAGGTAGGTATAATAGGAGCCGCTGGAGCCGCCAAGGAATCTACTTGGGGTTTCGCGACTCTGGCAAAAGGCGCGAGATGGAACGCGGCGAGATTTTAACCAGAAGTCCGGCAGTAATCTCCAGTACCTACCATACCTACCCGGGGATTTATCCACGTAAAGAAAAAAAGAAATAGTTTTAGTTTTATTATCGAATAATAAACATCATTTAGATAATTTGTGTATATGAGTTTTTGTTTTGAAGAAACGCAGTCTAATTTTAAAACAGAACTTTGAGAGTAATGCAAAGGTCATATATAAAAAAATATAATTAATAAAAATACACAGTCAACAAAGAATCCAAATTAAGGTTTTTATTCCTCATGTAAACAACATCTTATAGGTTGTTTTTAAGTTCGAAATAACAAGACATATAGGTAGGTTATTTACGTTTTACCGTATAGTAAAAATGAATATTAAAAAATATCTATAAAAAAACTAATTATAATTTCACTTTCTGTAACTAGTTATTAATTGAATACGATTAAATATTTATAAATAATTATATAGACTAAAAACGAATCATAATAATATCGGGAACAATTTCAGATAGGTTGCTGTAGCTGGTGCTTTTGAGTAGATGATTTTTTTCTAACCTTAGCGCTATTGATATAAGCTAAACATTCGTAATACATTGAATAATTGTGTATAAAATGGACTGTGTGGATTTGGATAAATATAATTTGATATTTTAAAAATAAAATGGTGCAATCGATATTACTAAAATCCATAGATGGCTTCTCCTCCAATCTGCACCGCCTGAAATAAAAAGATGTATAATTTAGATACCTACTACATATATACAATCCTACACAAAAATAAATAGAGATTTTTGACAAGATTGTAGTACGTTTTGATTGCATATAAACAAACTTTACACAAATAATAGCTATTATCAAAAATATTCAATAGATAGCTATTACGAGATCTCCGTACAGATAATCAGGATAAAGCTGATATTTACCTGTAACTTGGGAAGCACCACCCACCCAGTTGAGGTGTGTCTTCCCACCACCCTCGTCTGTTTTCTGCTTCTCTTTATCAATCTCATTTAGATTGGATAGATATTTTGTTCCTGTCAAAGATGGAAATTTATGCATATATGAAACATGCAATGTAAATATCAATAATATTTACAATATAACCATTTTGTTACGTTTATACGTAATTAAAGTTTTCTAATATATAAAATTCGCGAAATGGCTTAAATATATACAATCCTGAATATTCACCCTTCTACCATCAACCCATATTTTTTAATAGCGATTATAATTTATAAGGCGAAACAACGTTTGTCGAGTCAGCTAGAATACTAGACAATGTTTTCTTTTTTTTTTTATAACAATCACTTACCATCAGGTGAGCCGCATGCTCGTTTGTGCCCGAGCATGCGGCTCACCTGATGGTAAGTGATTACGGCCGCCCATGAACACCCGCAACACCAGGGGAATTGCAAGTACGTTGTCGGCCTTTTAAAAAGGAATAAGCTCTTTTCTTGAAGGTTTCAATATCGTATCGGTTCGGAAATACCATTGCTGGAAGGTGATTCCACAATGTGGTTGTGCGAGGCAAAAAGTTTCTAGAAAACCGCACTGTGGAAGACCGTCATTCATCCAGATGATCCACCGGCGGGTGGTACGGTGGTGAAACTCAGCAGCTGGTATCAATCCGAACAATTCCTCAGAACACTCCCCGTGATATATGCGGTAGAAAATGCACAGAGATGCAATATCTCGCCGCAAAGCCAATGGGTCGAGTCTGTCACATAGACGTTGATTACCAATGATTCTGGCTGCGCTCGGTTCTGAATGCGGTCAAATGGAAGTACCTGGTATTGTGGTGCTCCCGTCCAGAGATGAGAACAGTATTCCATGTGCGTCCGGATCTGCGCCTTGTATAATTGCAAGCGATGGGCCGCCGTGAAATACCGTCTCACTCTACTGAGCACACCAAGCTTTTTTAAGGCTATTTTAGCCTTGTCTTCCAAATGACTGCAAAACTGAACGTCATTGGATATATCAACGCCAAGGACCTCGAGATTTGGCTTCATATCAAGGAGAGTGTCTTGAAACTGAGGAGATACGATAAATGGATTCTTTTTAGCGGTAAACGCGCACTTGTGTCTTCTTGGGGTTGAATTGAACACAATTTTCCTGACTCCAAACCGAAACTTGATGGAATGAAGTTTCGATTTGGAACACAAGTTTGTTCCGGTACTCTATAACTTTTGCCTGTGACATATTAGCATGGCCGCTGTACAAGGCATCTCCGGTACTGTCATCCGCATAGCAATGAATGTTGTTGATTTGTAATATATCATTGATATGCAGAAGGAACAGAGTCGGAGACAGCACACAGCCTTGTGGAACACCAGCATTCACAGAGTGTGGAATGGTCGGAGCAAGCACCATCGACAACGATCTTGATGCTCCGATCAGCAAGAAAACTGGCGACCTATTTGTATAACTTCGCAGGCACCCCGAAGGATGGTAGCTTTGAAAGAAGAGCTTTGTGCTAAACCCGATCAAAGGCATTCGCAATATCCAGACTAACAGATAGGGTACAGATAAGACAGATACAGTAACAGATAGAGTAAGGGGGAGGCCCTTACTCTCAATAGCCTCTGCCCATCGATGTGTCAAATACACTAGAAGATCACCAGCTGAGCGACCCTGGCGAAAACCATACTGACGATCAGAAATCAACAGGTTCACTTCTAGGTATCGTAGGGGTTGACGGTTGACAATCGACGCCATGGTTTTTGAGAATAAGGAGGTGATGGCTATGGGCCTGTAGTTAGCTGGATCTAAGCGATCTCCCTTCTTAGGGATCGGATTAACCAAAGCCGTCTTCCAAAGTTTCGGGACTACACCTGTAGATGTTTAAGCGCAAGAATAAAATTAGACCAGCAGACTTTACCCATTATAAAAATATATCTACACGTTATTTTACGTGCACTTACAAATACTATATCAAGGAATAAACTCCTAGAATAAGTTGACAAAATAAGATTCCACTACGTATCTACTCGGAAACAAGAATGTACCTAACATTTATTATATTTCTTACAGAGATTGTGGAAGTCATTAGGTAAAGGATTCAATATGGCAAGGGACAGTGGACAGGGGTCGGCGAGCGGCCGGTTATTGAAAAGTTGCCCAATATTGTCGCGTGGTTGGCCCAGCGTAAATTCGTAATGGGTGCAAAAAATAAGCCGTCTGTGTTGACGTTGTGCAGCCGCTACGTCCCGTCCGGTATAAAAACAACTCGTTGCCGTAGCAACCTAATGGATTTTTCAAATTCAACGATGTATTTATATAAAACATGACCAACATTAATTAAGGATCATATTCATAAAAAACCCTATTGTTTAATAAACTATTGAACCTGTCGAGCTAATTTCTTAATTTGATAGAACGTAACAAATAAATCTAACAATTAAAATGTTTGTAGAATGTCATAATCTTTGTCTATATACATAATAAAGTATTGTAGTAAAACTGTAGCGAAGGTAAACAATACTATCTGTTAAGGTTTCTCGTAAAATTGAATGTAAGAATTAGGATGAAATTTGAATATATTGTTAAATATAACTAAATATTTTTGTTACTATATTTTAATACGTCATCCACTATTTTAATAAATAATCTATTAATAAAATATTAAATTGCGTCGTAGATATGCATTATTCATTGTTGTTGTTTGATGAGTACAATAATTAGAAAACTTGTAATAAAATTATATTATTTGGCACTGATATGGCGCAGAAAGGAACAGAAACAACATATGACGATAATATGGTGTAATGCAGGATGTTTCTAAGCTGCGTCAGCTGTAACATAACTAAGAATAGTCTAACTTGCCAATATATCCGGAGTAATGGGGCAGGCTAAAAACTTATGTACCTACAACAAATAAAAATGTCGAGTACGTCATGTTTATTCTTTGTAAGTATCATTTTGGTAGTAATAAATACGTATGATATTACCTGCATCGTAATATCCGTTTTTTTATTTCTATAAAATCACTAACCACCTACTTGGTTTTAAATAGTCGTAACCGGCTACGGATATAGCGGTTACTGACATGGAACGGCAGATAATCTTGTATTATAAGATATTTGGTATTTATATTCAGCAAAGGAATATGCGCTATTAAATTGTGTTATTTCATAATAAAGGTGCTTCAATACTCGGTCATTAAATTAGGACTAATTAATTTTTATAGCATCCTATTGCTGTCTGTAGATGATGGACTGTTATATTGTTATAGCATAGATAACTTCTCTGTGGGTAATAATATATTATACTGTTCAATTTAATTGTAATATACACAGAACTCAAACATTATAGAATCTGTTTAAAGTTTTGGTCTATTAACTAATCATAAACCCTAATTTTATCGTTTGTGATAAGAGTAAAATATATATAGTACCACTTCATAAAACGTTTGCGTATAAACGATTTGTTTATGTTTTATGAGGGCCCATAATATTCGAAGCCAGTTTACAAACTACAGGCTGGCGACAAGCAGATCGTCGTTTCGGTTTATGATCAATAAACAAATACGTATAACGACCACTAATAATAACTGAAACAGCAGCAAACAATGAAAACTGAACGCTCTTGTGGATTGATATGACTCGTAAAGGTAATATTATCTCTTAATAAACAGAATCACCGACGTAAAATTGTTGTTCCATGCATTTTATTGACGGTATCAGATATTGATGAGTTTGTTCATACACGAAATATTATAAGTATTTTTTTTATGAATTAATAAAATATTTGATACTATTATTCGACTAACATTAAATCTGAACTGTTAAGTTTTAATTGACAATTTATGTGGTATAGTTCAACATATTGCCTCAACTTGCGAAGGTCATGGGTTCGATCCCCGTACAATTTTGACATTGGTTTTAGTTTAACATCATCACGTTAAGTCTGTTTTCATTCTTCTTTTACCATACTAACTGAAACCCTAAAGAAACATTATTACTTGCGCACGATGCTACGTTAAGCAGCTCCTGCTATTTCTCTATATGGTTATCATAAATATGAAAATGTTTCCAACTGTTTGTTCATATCATCTTTTCAAGATAGGTTGTGTAATGAGGACGGACATAGTTTCGTATTATAGGATTTATTATTATTAAATAGACATGTTATACCTTCCGATTTCTGTTTGTAAATATTACCTTTATCTGTTAGCGGCGTATCTCTGCGTGGCGGTCTTGACGGTGGCGGTACTGTCATAGCTCTAGGATCTGGAGTTGTAGTCGGTGGCGACGACGCTGATTAAGAATTATATCATATTAAACTAAGATTTAACATATAATTTGATTATTGACTTATTGTAACTTAACTGACGGTGGCTGCATCTTTGTTTGTTACTTTTTTCCCGGATATTAATAAAATTGAACTTAAGAATAGATTTTATCATGAGGAAATTTTATGATAAGATATTTTACGGCAATACGCCCGGTGTTTTGCCTCAAAATATAACCTCGAAGAGGGTGTAATAAAAGAAAAAAGTTTATTGAAGCAGATGAAATCTCGGGTAACAGGTAGTACTTTAAAAAACTATTTGATTTTAATAGTGATTAACTGCCAATTTTGTTTTTGAGTTCACAAAACTTTGTTGTTTTTGAGCCATGAGGAGGAACATAAAAATAATTCCTACAAACCTTAATACTTAATGATGTTTTAAGTTTAAGAAGTAGTTATAAAATTTAAGAAATATTTTCCTATAAATAGTATTAAATTATTGATTACTTACTGTATAAACGTATCGTTCCATCGGATTCTCCTCTTGGATTCTTAGCAACACATTTGTAAGTTCCATAATCTTCAGTGGTAATATGTCTAATAAGCAGTCTCATATGTGTTTTATAAGCTGGTACACCGACAGTATTTTCCATGTGATATTTTGCACTTTCATGGATCATATGTCCATCATCTCGTGTCCAATAATTTAAAGAAGTAGGGTGAGCTTCTGTGAAGCATTCCAGAGTTACGTTATAGAAGAGGGGAGCGCCGACTAACTGATGAGGAATCCATAACATTGGGGGAACTAAAACAAAAAAATTTCGATGAGAGTTCCCGCAAGCCGAAACTTACTGCACAAGTTATTACTGGTTTTAACTTACAATCAACGCTAACTTTGACTCGTTTCGACACTGTTGGTGGGACTCCATTACTGGCTATACATAGGTAAGCACCCATATCTAATCTGGAAATGCGCGCCATCTCCAAAACTTCTCCCTCCCATTCGGAAACTGAAAAGATTAAGTAAGCCTTACTCGTGATCGCAGTCGAAAATGTAAAGGGGTATCATTAACAAAATCGATTTCTAACCGGTATGTCCTTTACTGATGGATATTTTTGAATTGTCGTCCCGTTTCCACTTGATGGTGGGCTTAGGGGAGCCATTAGCGCGACACGTCAGGGTGACGTTGGCGCCTTCTCGGACGATAACGTCGCTGGAGCTCAAAGAGTCATCGATCGTCGGTGGCACTGCAAATTAGAAGTCCGTTTTACTTAAATATACAAAAATTAAATTAAATATACAAATACTAGTAATGTAACTCATTATTCGATATTATCAAATAATGAGTTACCCTTACTAGTATTTGAAATATTTTAATTCGAAACATACATGTTCATATCATATCATATTATTATGGAAGTAACCTATTATTTTAATATCATAGGTAGGCAATAAAAACATGATATTATAAACAACAAATTAAAATTGAAAAGAAGGAGCTAATCAAAGAATTGGACTGCTATATACGAAACTGTCTTAAATCAGTAATATACAAATAAATAATTTATTATCAGTGACCTCTTCATTTTCACTTATGTTATCTTCAATAGAATGCAATTTTATATTATTTTGTTACTAAAATCATATAAATTATAAAATCTTTTTGTTTATAATGTCTATAACCTTGATATAACTAAACGGCTGATCGTGAAGTACAAACCATTTTTTTTAAATAAGCAAACGGTGGTTATTAACTATGGTGTAATATAATGCGAATAATCTTACCAACTACATGCAAATAGCCGAATTGTGTTTTTGCAGTGACAGTGTTGATCTGGCACATGTATCGCCCACGGTCTTCCTCTCGTACGTCAGATATATGGAGAAACCATGTACGGTGTTTGTCATGGGTCACGCTCACTCGAGGATTCCGTGTAATCACATGATTATGAACAGTAAGAATAGCAGATTGTTCGAAGTGCATCCACGCCACCTGAATAGAAAAAAAAACAAATATTTTTATTATGTAAATAACAGCTGTTATAATATCTAGATTAGAATTTGTGTCGCTTTACACGTTGGTATGAGTTTCTGATTGCATTAACAGAATAATTGTAGTTTCTTTCCATACCCAAGATTATTTCAAAACTTTAATTGAATAATTTGATGTATATTATGAAATATTTTTTATTGTTTACCACAAGTAATTAAATTTACGTTTCAACATACATATACTCGTAATGTAGTGAGGAGAACGAAATAATCATAATTTTAAATAAAGCTTATAAAACCACAATATTAAGCCAAAAATAGACAAAAATTATAAAAATATTGATTTTTATTTTGTCAGTTTCCTAAAGTTTCTCTATAGTATATATTTTTTAAGATATCTTTCGTATATGAACTATTAGTGTCAAATTTGTTATATAGACGAGAACGATGTGATTCGAGCTAGATGTAGATACTGCTTTTGGCCTTCATCATATTTTCTAATAGTATTAAATATCATCAGAGCATTAACCAATAATTTAGTAAATCATCTATTACTAATGAAGAAAACATTTTATTGCAAATATTACTGGCGTGTAAATCACGGAGTCATTCAATCATGACCACACGAGAAAAGCAAAAAAAGAAACGGATTTTTTTATATGAAAAACATGTTACCAAAATATTAATGTATTTTTAAGAAACGTTAATAACGCAAGAACTTAGGGTGGAGAACATCGTGCCTCAATGGTTTCCAATCGTTCTTCCAATTGAAGCAGTGACGTAACGGAAATTAAAGAAAGCGGCGTTCTTCCGCCGATATTTTTTTAGGAAGAAAATAAAAATACTTATAAACGACATGATTATACAATGCGACATGTTCGAAATTTGAAATTTGACATTATGTTAATTCTGAAGTAAAAATATTATTATTGGTTGGTTTTAATATGTTGAACAATTATTACGGATACGAACATCTGCGTAATTCGTAGAATGTACAAAGTTACGTAACAGTTTTTGGCGTATCTAACATATCACACATATCTAACCTACGTTACATTTTATGTGAATAATATGAAAAATATAATAAATAATATAAATAAGAATTATTTTCTACCACTAATAATAAACATTATAATCACTACTTGGTTGACTATAAGAATAATTTCTACCTTTTACTACTTTATAATTATTTTAAGCAAATACTACCTAAACAATCAAGAACCTTTCCAGTATATAAATAATTTGATATGGATATATATATAAAATTAATTAAATATTTAGAATTTCAAGAATTAGGTATTATTGATTGTGTTTAATGTGTCGGTGCTCATTTAAAGCAATATAAATGGCGAACTTGAACCTTTACGAGTAGTCATTAGATGTCGGGCTGTAGCACGACATCTGTGTAATTGCACAGAGCTGCCATCGCCTCGCCATACCGCGTGCCGTCGTTCGTTGTCGCCGCTTCACACCAATTTCCGCGGCATTAAGCGCTTAAAATGCATTTTACAGAGATTGTTATACTTCCAGCAATCTCGCTACTTTAATTTTAGCTCCGGAATGATTAAATCACATCAAAACAAACTTGGAGAAACATGTTTAGATATTTAAGATTACAAATAGCTAAATTATAATTTGTCTAACTCTGTGTTTGTGTCTAGACAAAATCCTGCCCTTTATATGTACTATATATATTACGTACGATTGTATTTGAAAGTCTGGTGAAGTCTGATTGAAATTGATCACAAACGCTAGAAATAAAGGATACTTGATATTATATGTACCTACTTAGTCAACTTTAGTATTCCATATTAATATAATCTAAATATATATAACTCAAAGGTGACTGACATAGTGATCTATCAACGCACAGCCCAAACCACTAGACGGATCGGATCGGTTGAAATTTGGCATGCAGGTAGATATTATGACGTAGGCATCCGCTAAGAAAGGATTTTGATTAATTCTATCCCCAAAGGAATAAAATAGGGGATGAAAGTTTATATGAAACTTCAATTTTAAACCGATCGGGCTGAAAAGATAAAGCTACTATTATATAATTTTGAAAGATTGTAACTTATATAATTATATTAAACGTATATAATTGTAAAATCCACTAGTGGTGCCCGTGACTTACACGTGTATATTTAGAGGCGTCATCTATTAATACAATTATATGCGGCGTATTTTTTCTTAGCTTTCTATGGCCAATATTTTTATGTTGGTCTATATTTTTATGTTGGTTCGTCCTAATGCTGTCTTCACGTGAAATCTTAATACACAAACAGATAGTTTTCACCAAAATTCCAATTTATGTAAAGATAAAACCAAAAATTCTTGTCATATTTTTTGTGAAATATAAATACCTAATAGTTATTTTATAATAATAAACAAATTCAATATTACCGAGTGCATTTCTTTATTTCGTAATTCAATCGCAAGTTTGAATCACGGTTACTGGGTAGTTCTTTTTATCAAGATTGCGATGGCAATATAGGGGAAGTTTGGTAGCTAAAACTCGTGCCGGGTCACATCTTACCTATCTTAAGTGATGCGGCTCTCAACCGCTGTCTAATTTATAATGGACTTGAGGAAACTTCGCCCATTTTATTATGCAATGGGACGGTAACCCCTCTAATGACGGCGACCTGACTTGTCGGCGTAACCTGGGGCTCAACGATATTAAACAAGGCTTAATATTACAAGTGATTTATGTTAAAATAATTTCATGTAAAATTTAAACTTAACGTTCTTAATTAGAAAATTACCATCTTATCTCATAATAAAAAATACTGAACAGATTTAATTCAGCTGAAATTTTACCTCTAAAGAACAAATAAAACTTTTTACATTAAATTAAGTTACTCATATCATATATTGATTATGCGGTCTTCGGTCGGTCGTATTCATTTAATGATATATCTATACATTGTAATGTGTTTAAAAAAGGACCTGCTAATTAATTTAAAGGTAACTCCTATCAATAATTTCAATTATTTAACATTGGTTTCCACTTTCCATGCAAGTGCTGTAGTTTGTATCTTGTCTGCAATTAAAAATATAAGAAAATTATGAATGAATAGACTGAAGTTCTACTAAATTAACTTTAAAAAATCATTTTAACGTATCATTGTCAATAGCCTGTATTAAGTTTTATAGTCGAAAATAAATGCAAATTTTTAGTAAAACGTAGAACAGCGGTTGCCTAGTGGTGAAATTCGATCATAATTCATTTAAATTTTAAATTTAAACGTTGTAAATATTATATTTTCAAAGACTAAATATATACAAACTTATAAGAACATTTTTTTAAACCAATTTATAGTACTTTTTACCAATATTCAAAACTAAATGTTATGTTCTTTAATGGAGTAATTTACGTCTAATTTAAATAACTTTTGTCCTCACATATATATGGTTACTAATAACATTGATCAACGTTTATATCGTTACATTTTATAATGTTTTCAAAGAAGTGTTAGATTATGAGTAATGTGAAGGTGTCGCTGTTGATAGCGATGTTACGACAACGGAGACCGAGACAGCGGCAGCGGATGTAAATCTGATCTGCGTAATTGTGGCCGGCGTCTAATCTAATCACGGTGCGGTGTCCCTCTGCATCGCTCTGATTGAATTACAAGCCTCGGCACGCCTCGCTTCGCGTCTCTTCACCGTTTAGTGGACGCTGTTTTTAATGATCTCCAGATGACGACGAGGTAGGTAATCACTAAGTAATAAATTAACATTTTACAAGATAGTATTTATTTTTATAGCTATTATACAAATATTATTCATATATAACAATAAGTGATCACGGTTAAATTTCAATCATGCTTAAAAGCTTGGATGGATGTGATTAAAATTGTTGTACAGAAAGGTGCTAGCTGCCCGCGACTTGATTCACGTGGAATAGTAATCTCGACCAAATAAACAGAATAATCTAATATATTTAAAAATAATCCAAAAAATATAAAGACTTAAAGTTGAAACTTTATATGATATTAATTATAATGAATGAATTTCCATACAAGCTCTCATCACCTAATTTAATTTTTATCCTCTTAAGGGTACCGGTATCTGTGTACCAAATTTCTTTTTAATCGGTTCAGTAGTTTTGGCGTGAAAGCACGACAGACAGACAGACAGAGTTACTTTCGCATTTATAATATTAATAAAGAAAAGGATAAATCAGCTATTATTTTAATAGCGTTCACTATTACATTTTGTAATAGTGAACGCTATTAAAATAATATAAATATATATAAAATTGTAGAGCCAAGTTATGTGTGATTATTAAAATATTTGTGTATCTGTCTATACATCTTAACTGAGTTTAAACCGGTAGTTTATATCTTGAATTACGTATATGAAGTTGTATGTAAATTAAATTTTGGGTTTGGCAAATTCCGCTGTGTTTGATGAGCGTTCTTCGCTATAAAAGCACAAAGTTTAACTGGACTTCGCTTTATAGATACATATACAATTTATCCAAATCCTTTGGGTTATCGTGGATTCGTATAAAACATAAAAGGTATTCTTGAAAGTTTCCTTTTATTGTTCCCACAGTTAAGATAAAATTAAGGAGGAATCAAAATTGTTAGCGGTTAGAGATAAGCGTTGAGTGTTGAACTTGACGAAGTTGGCATCGCACGGTCGGGGTCGACACGAAATATTTTGTAACGTCCCAAGTTTGTCGGAATTAGGATTATAAAATTGCTTAGTGAGGGAAAGTGCCGAATGAACGAGAATGAAATCGGATTCAGAAATAAATTGCGGTCTTTCCGAGCTGACGGAGATTTCTATAAAACAACCCTGAACACGACCAAGTTTTTATAAAATATACACATTCAGTATAATTATAAACATTGTAATATTGTAGAATAATGTCGAATAATTTCTTTAATAATTTTAAGTATTTTTGGTTAACGAGTAGGTATTCTGAATGAGTCAGCCATCATAAAATTCTCTCACAGCATAGAGAGGTAAATTTCATTGTACTTG